CCGCCAAACATCCGACCGGTGTGCTTGGACTGCGACGCCCCATGACGGCGGACGACGGCTGACACTACGACAAAACCAAAAAAATTCTCTTTTCGTTTTTCTTTGCGGTTTCTAGTAAATCTCTCCAAAATATTCTTTTTAGAATATTCTCAACTCTTCGAGAGGTACTTTTTGAGGCACTCTTTAGGGGCTACTCTTCGAGGTACTCTCCGGGATACTCTCCGGGGTACTCTCATTACGATTAAATATTTTATGAAGTTCTTCGCAAAAAAAAAAAAATTCGCGGGAAGTTCCGTGGAAAGTCCCGTAATTTTTTTTTTTTTTTTTTTGCGAAGAACTTCATAAAATATTCGATCGTAGTGTTAGTTATTATCCGTCGTAAGTACCCGGAAGAGTACCCGGAAAAGTACCCGGAAGAGTACCCGAGAGAGTACCCGAGAGAGTACCCCGGAGAGTACCCCGGAGAGTACCGCGAAGAGTACCCCGGAGAGTACCCCAGAGAGTAGCCCCTAAAGAGTGCCTCAAAAAGTACCTCTCGAAGAGTTGAGAACTAGAAATCGCGAAGAAAAAAACGAAAAGAGAATTTTTTTGGTTTTGTCGTAGTGTCAGCCGTCGTCCGCCGTACCCATGCTTGTGCCAATTTGTTGGCGGGGATTCCAGATCCGGTTTCATCATGTCCTGCACTTGTTTGGACACTGCAGGCGTCGAGTCTTCGAGGCCCCAAGGTGACGCCCACGTTGCGGAATCATGCCACGATTTTGGGCCTGGAGATTTGTGAAGGGATGCTTGAGCGTCTCATCCAACCCCGCCGGGAGGCAGGAAGAATGTATTGGAATGATGAAACATATGACGGCCCTCGGCATACGCTTGCTTACATGTTGTCAGTAGCTGGTACCCTGGCAGCGAAGGCACGGGCGGGATCTCTAGGTGGACTCTGGCTTCCCAGGATCGTTTGAGTCTTGCTATCCGTGTTCCTTGCTTCCTCGGATGTGGATATCGCCGGGTAGAAATATGAGACGCATGATTTCGTTTCGGATCTCTCCTGGTAGCGAGGAGGAAGCCACTGGCTCTCGGCGTCGACGAGTGAGAACTCTCAGTGCCGATCTGAGTGTCTGACTGGCGGCTTTGTACATCGCAATGCTAGGATTGGGATGATTCTGCCTATTCTCCATAGTCTCGTCAGCGGCCTCATCCTGAATTCACGTATGTTGTCGCGGAGAAGTGCTGTTCTGGGAGAGTTTTTCACGGAATTCTGGTCGATGTTGCTAAGTGTTGCTAGAAATCACGATGTAGAAATCACTCGTTGTGTTGTTCGAAAACGTTCTCGATGTAGTTAGCGGAATGCTGATGAGATTCTAGGTAGGAAAGGATAAAATAGAGGAGCTTCTGGGAGTGTCGTGAAGATGTATGTGCAATCCGCACGGGTTGTATAATGGGAGACTTAAGTGACGGTATTAACGGGAGAAACTCGAGCGTATCAAAAATAAGCCCCGAATCAGTTTGCTGATAAAGGTGCCTGTTCTCAAGGGCTGCAAGAACCCAATGTACCGCTCCCTGCGTCATCGAGAAGTCCCTCAAAGCCTCCCAGTCAAATGTTAATGGAGCACTGAAGTGGGTGTGTTTGAGAATCGGAAACATTCATCTGCCAATCTCGTGCTTGTCCGATGGTAGCTATACAGTTCCGCAGAAGCCGAAGACTAGATTTACAGCAGCGTTCGATCTCTATGAAAGTCGCAAAGCACTACACGTATCGTCTCGACGGTCCAGTGTACCCCTCATGCCCTTGATTGTGAGGCTCGAAGTATACTATCAGCCTTCCTCGTCTTCCAGCCCGACTGTCGAGTGTGGACCTTGTTCAACAAGCGTATAAAACATTTCATGGCCCGGCACAATGTCCGACTTGTCGTACATCAGCTCCATCAATCGCTCATCCCGGAAGCGATCTTCTCGACCTCCGCCCCGAGAGCCTTCCAGCCATCCATCTCGATCATGTCCTGAACCTCCTCCTGAACGAGCCTTTTCGCCCGCCAGACCAACTCCCGGATCTCCAGCGACCGGAAGATATCTCCGTTCGTCCTCCCAAGGAACTCCACGGTCTTTGCCACATCATCGGCGTCGAGCTCGAGCGACTTTTCCGCATTCGTAATCTTGAACACCTTCAATCCTTTCCACTGAGTTAGAATAAACTCCAGTTTCGCCCTCCACAGGCACTTCAGTCGACATTCTACCAGAGTACTCCATTGGATTGAATGCGCGAGACTCGGCCCATCCGTGAGCGTAGCCCCATAGCGCACTCGCATTTCCTGGTGAACGCTTTCGCGGACTGCGGGCGTCAGGTCCAGCAAGCCTATTGTCAATCCAACCCTCTTGATCATCGCAAGGTGCTGAGGCTGGAGGGCCTTCAAGCCGCGGAGCGTATTCCAGAGCGGACCCGGCAGCAGGTCGAAGACGTTCGAAGAGTAGAAAGCCGCGTGGCCTTCCGCACAAGCCTGCCTGCACGTGGCCAGGAATTGGAAGCCGGGAGGCTGAAGGACACGTGGCGGCTTCGAGTCCTCATGGCCGCCGCGTCTGTCGACGGTCTTTATCACGCGGTGAACCGCCCCCTGCAGCAGAGAAGCCTTGCGCTCGCGCTTGACCGCACTTTTGGAGTCGAGAATCATTGACCCTTGGACAAAGACAAGCTCCATGATCATGTCTCTGATTTCCGCCGGCAAGGAGAAGTAGCCCACGGGCGGTTGTTTCTTGTAGTCTGCGACGGCGATCGTAGCGAGAATACTCACGACGTGGGTGACGGTGGGATCTTGGGCTATGCTGAAGGGACCTTTGAGAAGGTTTGAATACAACATAGCGATAGAAGGGTATGTTATTTCGGAGGTGAGAGAGTGTCTTCGGATTCTCGAATATTGAAAGGTAAAAGGAAGAAGAAGACACAGGGATTTGAAATGCCTTGTATTGAAGACCGAAACGCTATGGGCGGTGTGATAAGGAAAGTGTGGTGCTAACGTCTAAATGTGGTGCGTTCGACCAATCATTTGTTGATGTGTTCAATAGCCGGCCCGTTGCCACCATGCCAAGTTTCATCAATAGGGCAGCACATCAATCTTGAAACAAGCGTATGGACAACATTTGCCACAAATCAGGTCTACTAATGCTGTGTTGTCTAAGGTAGGACAATGCTAGATTGCTTTCACCGTTATGGCATAAGCTTGCTCAGGCCAAGATAAAATTGTGACAATGAAAGACATAAAAAGCGGACGACGTGAAGGATGTGAATGCAACCTCCTTCGACCATTAACCTTGTCTGTGTTTTAGCTGTTAGAAACTGGACTGTTCGGATAGCACGCCTAAAGACTCGTTCGTACTTACACGATCCACCTGCATCCAGCCGACTCCTTCCGCCCGAATCGGTCACTAGAATTGCTAGTTTCTAATAGTGCTGATCTCACAATTTCCTGACTCGATCATTTACGGTTCGTTATCTTCTTTGCAGGAGTTGATTCGATCAATTTCTTAGAGGCTAGTATCTCGTCTTAAGAAATGTAACGGTGATACGTAGGGAAACACGAAATGCCGAGTGAAGTTCCGGAAGATACTGGTGGTCAGGTCAATGACTGTTGTTGACAATTGTGGCGATGACAAAGTGTGTATGGCGAAGAGGCGGTCGCGCTTGCAGTAGACGTAGGGTTTCACGTGAATAGTGTCGATGGGGCCTCGAAAGAGCAACTATGTCTCATTATCGCAACCGCCGTCTAGAAAAATGGTTGTGCTTCTACTCAAAGATGTCCAAATCAGCTTTGCTCTTCTAGAAATGAACCTGGTGCTACTGTGCACCATGGCTGGTTGGCAGATCGACTGATACCTGAGGCTGGGCAGCTAGTGCCCTATACTCATGGCCGAAGAGGCTCGTTGACACTATCGATCGGTCTTGTCCATGATACGCACAATAGAGCACACTTTCCGTAAATACCTTATACCTCCCACATCATCAGGTTACCACATGTCTTGTACCCCACGTCTTCAAGCTCCTCGGTCTCCACGTTCAATCACGGTCGAAATAGGTCAAGCCAGCAGAACCCCACACAGACACTTTGAACACGTCCACCGCACATCGCAGACCCTTGCACTTTCCAGCCATGAGCGTCAGCACCCAATAGGCTTCTTCTCCTTGCCAGCGGAGATCCGCAATGTGATCATGCGGTTTGTCCTGGTCCCAGACGAGATACAACTTCACGCCCCGGAGCCCGACGGAAATTCTGAAGAGCGCGGACTGCTTCGAGGTGTGATAGGTCGCGTGTACGAACATCTCTCCAGAGGCGAGGATATGAAGTCGTCCTCAACTCTCCAACCTCCTGGTTTTCCAGCTCCTTGCCGCTTGCAAACAGGCTTGCGCAGAGGCTCGAAGAAGGCGTTTTACCTACCGTGGGGTGCGGTCGAAAATATCTGCAGGTGTTTCCTAAGAAATCCATGTGGGACATAGATCAAGGATGCAGATCGGGACGCTGACATTTGGACTGCCAGATCTAACTCTTACAGGCTTCGAAGGCATTGAAAGGCACATGAAACTGCTCATCGGATCTAGACTGCTGGTCAAATCTGGAACAGCGAGCCGAGAACAAGGGAATGCATGGGTCTCGTGCGTGGAACCGCAACTCGAGGACATCTGGGAGCAGACGCTGAGATGTGTGCGAGCACATGCGATAGTAACGAGACTCGTGAAGACTGGAGACGGGGGGGGGGGAAAAAAAAAAAAAAAAAAAAAAAAAGACTCGTTTAGCAAATGAAGCCCATTGGACACAGGCAGTGTGGTTCAAGCCTCGCAAACTGCCTCCATGTATCACATTCGCGGCGATCATAATCGGTAAAACCACGAATAAATTCAGAGCTGATGGTGAAACGCAACAGGGCCCCAACTCGGCTAGATGACTTACCATTTGTTGCGCACCACCCACTCCTTCTCCGGATCTACCGAAGATACGCTGTGAGTCCTCAACAATAGCAACTCAATCGTACCCACAACCACCAAGCTGGAGTTTTTCCCAATACACGTCCTTACTTCCCGTCCCAACAGCGAAGAAGCTAGCTTCCATCTCCTTCAACCTCTCCGCCCCGCTCTCGATCCGTCTCTCTGGAAGGAACTTTTCCGGCTCCGGGAACACGAAAGGGTCACGGTGCATGACCCACGCATTGACGCCGACGATCCTGCCAGCTGGGATATGCTGATTGCAGATCTCGACGCCGCCTGGTGGGACGTGGCGCTCGAGCAGGAGTCCGACGCTGGGGTGGATGCGCCTTGCTTCTTTTATCACGGCTCGTAGGTAGGGACAAATGGGCCGTGAATTCCTTATAGCTGGTCGGATCTCCTAGTTTGCCTTCCCCTTGCGTTTGGTCGATTTCGGCGACTAGACTTGTCCATTGTGGACGTGTTGCGCACGAGGTTGTAGAAGATGGCGTGCAAAGCGATGGCAGTTGTGTCGCTGCCTGCGGAGACATTTGCGGAGGTGTGCACAACGATATCGCGAGTACTGAATCTGGTCGGGTTGGATTCTTTAGCTGCGATCCACTTTGATGGCTGATCCTCCGCTACTTTGCCTTTTTCGGTAGTGGTCAATTCGCCGTTGCGATTTGGTGTACCCCGAGAGTTGATGGCTTTTAGTATAAAGTTTAAGACTTGATTCCAAGATTCCATGGAAAGAATCAGGAAGAGAATGAGAGGGTTGCCGAGCAAGAATTTATGCATATAGGATACTTGACCGCATTGGATGGAGTATCCAAAAATTCCTGCCATTGTTTCCATCATACCGTCCACGTCAATGCCGTGTTCGAGGAAGCCGAGCTTTTCGTCGAAAGTGAGCTCGCCGACAACGTCGAAGGCATGGTATTGGAGCTAGGCCTGGTAGCAGTCTCAGCGTACAATGGAATTCTGTCGAAGACTGAGACGAGTGTACTTACTCCAAGATCAAAACAATTGCCAGCTGTTGCGAATTCGTCAAGTCGCTTTGTGAGTAGACCTGAGCAAGAGTCCACTGCATCCTCCATTTCCAGCAACGAACTCATACTATAAGCGCTGGCAACCAGTCTCATCTGGTCTCGATGATAAGCTTCGTTTCTAGTAGAGAACAGATTCATCTACGGTCTTTTCGGCCATGTTACGGAACTGACGGGACAGAATGCCGCCTAGATTCAAAGATCAGCCTATTCCTGACCACAGCGGCCTATATTTCGCACTTCAATACATACACTTTTCGAGCCACATGTGATTCGTATAGCCTTCGGGTCACCAACGGAATGTGGTTGGGCCCTGTCCGCACCAGAGGCCCATACTGCTGGTGCGATTCGATGTGAGTAAGATGTCCAGACTCTCGGCGAACGTCCCTCAGTCGCCAGAACCCCGTACGGGAGGCGATTGCGGGGCCTGGTATGTGCGACATGGATTTCCCGCAATTGTTACCTAGGAGGTAGCAGAGAAGGAGGCCGACGCAAGTTAAGAGCGAATGTGAGGTTACGAAAGCAGTGAAAGTGCTTAAGACTTCTTCTAAAACATTCTTGAGCCTTTATCTTGGTAGTTAGGCTTTCAGTTGAGACCAAGCGTAGCTATATCCCCCGAGATGGCAGATTGGGACGGACAATCTTGTGTCGAGAAACACATATTTCGGTTGCAGCCTTGTATGTAGACAGACGTCACCGCACAACACCGAGCGGGGAAGAGGGCAGCAGTAGGAGGGCAGCAAGGCCCTGCAGTGTGTACATCAATGATTAACCATACAGCTCAAAACTGTGGCATAAAAGCGCGTGCAACAAGGACAATATTGCCATAGATACGTACCTAAGCCCAAGAGTTACAGACGAATGAATACTAGTTCTTCTCGAGCTTATAAAGTCCGAGAGGCTCAATTCCCAAACATTAATGACGGTTCAGATATTTCACAAGCTAAATGACAGGCTTGCCGCTTATTCTGACAACTTGCCTGATACGTGAAAAATGGTCAGCAGTTTTATGTAGTCCACAAGCCTGGAAATTCACGATTTCGTGGGTTGTAACCGCCAGGTACTGCCACCTACATTGCCTCCTTACTTGACACATCCAAAATTCGGCAGCCCAACGCCTTGTTTGTACAAAGATAATCCATTTCCGATCCCAGTGTTGACGCCTTATCCCGGTTCCATTTTCAAAGAATACTTTACTTTCATTCGACCCGTTGCCGAGCTTCCTTTTTTCCCCAAACTTCATCTGCTCCGCTCTTTCCCTTGGTTTCTGGTACCCACCAGGCAATGAAAGCACCCAGCACCAAGGCCAGCCCTGCAAACACATAGTAGATTCGTCCTTTCTCGCCCATAGCCTTGTTCAGGATTGGAAAGAATTGCGAGACGATGAATGTAGCTAGCCAATTTGCTGCCAGAGCCCAACTCTGGGTTGCGCCCACTGCTTCCGGGCCCACAAGCTCGTTGGCGAGTATGAAAGGGACTGGCCCCAAGCCTACGGCGAAGGAGGCTACAAAAAGGAGCGTGGCGATGGCGGCGAGTATCTTGACGCCTTCGCCAATACCAATCGCTAGCAAGATAGAGCTGGTACCCATACCAGCTATACTCAGAAGGATACAGGTCTTGCGCCCAATCTTGTCAGAAAGAGGCGCGCAGAGAGTGGTGATGACGAGATTCAATGCGGAGATGGCAACTGTGAGCAGGGCGGCCTTCGTGGGTAAAAGGGCGGATAGTAGGCTGACGGAGTACATGACGATACTGTTGATACCTGTCAGCTGCTGCGTGACCATTACGGCAACGACTGCGATGATGGCCGGCCGGTAGCTCGGGTGCATGAAAGCACTGAAGATGCCAACTGTCTCTGATGCAGCGTCAGGATTTTGAGAAGGATGTGAGCCAGCCGGCGCGCTGAGCAGCGATTCCTCTTCCGCTGAGAATCGTTAGCTAGTGATTTTTATAGAGTATGTCATGAGAGATGCACCGATATCTTCTCGACTGCTGTCAATATTCCATGCCTTGACTTCCTCATCCAGGTCCGCTTTTTGCCCTCTCATTTTTCGCAAGATATGCCGCGCATGCTGCGGATTCCTGTTCTCAGCCAGCCACTTTGGACTTTCCGGGACCAGTGACAACGCAAGCAATTGGAAGAGCCCGATGCCCCCGGCGACGGCCAGAATGATTCTCCATAGACCGTCCTTGCTTAAGAAGTACCCCAAGACTTGCGCAATCACGATGCCCATATTAACCATTATCTGCGTCAAAGCTCCAAACAACCCCTTCTCTTTTGGCGGTGCAACCTCCGAGATGTAGATTGGCACGACGACGACTGCTGAGCCTGATGCAACTCCAGAGAGTACTCTTCCAAAGGCTAGGAGACTAATGCTAGGAGCAGCACTCTCGAATACAGGGCCTATGACGAAGAAGATCGTTGTAAGGCGCATGGTGAGCAGTCGTCCAAATTTGTTGCACAATGGGCCCGCGGCGAGAGCTCCGAGAAGTCCGCCGAGGGTATAGATCGAAGAGACGACGGCGAATTGATCAGTGTTCATAGGGATACATTGAGGGAGCTCGGGATGTAGGGCGGCGCTGTTGATGCTCTTCTTTTCGCAGGTGATGACATTCTGAGGAGCATTGAGCTCGGCCTAGGTAGTGTTAGCTGTTGCAGAGCATTGGCCAGGGAAGGATTGATACCAGATGGAAGCCGAACTGAAGGGGCCCAAGAGCAACAACTAGTAAGATATAGGATAAGTAGGCTGTAGTGTCTCTGATCAGAGACCGGTGTAAGGGCTCCCCTTCGCGCGACATCTTGGTACGCGCTGTTGAGGGGGGACGTCGAGAATCACAAAGGTGGTTGTTGTTGTTGTTGTTGTTTACCGCGATTTCGAGATTGATCTTCCATTGAGCAAGCTGTAAATGTTATAGACGTGGAAAAGACGTTGGTTCATTTGGTTATGGAGCGGCGCTTTTCCCGTGGCAACTTTCCCCAACTTTCCCCATGTGCAGTAGGCTACCAGCATCATTTTTCACATTACAAGGTGTGAACTGACCAGCGCAATGTCACTAACGGCATCACCAGCATCAGCGGCTGCTCCGCTAGAACAATCAGGAACTATATACCTGGTACCATCAAAGCTGCTCGATCATTGTCCTGCTGTCGGAAGGCTTGAGTGAACAAGTAATAGCGGGCATGCACGCTCGGAGTGCCTCGAGTGCTTCTACAACCAGGTGAGCCTTTGATCCCACAACCCCCATAGTACAAAAGTTCTAATGGTCTCAAGCTTCATACCATCTTTTTCTCGTCGCTCGGCCGCCATCCCGAACAAGCAAGGCACCAAAGCAATCTACACCGTCAATACACAGACACCCGGGAGCCATGCAAATATTACTGAGATCAGGATCATAGATCTCCTCACCGGGACCTCAAACCTCTTCTCCGACGATCCACGAGATACGGAAGCCAAATGGCTTGGAAAGGGGGACTTGGTGCTTTGGCTGAAGGACGTAGATTTTGGAGCAACAGAATTCTGGATTGCGGACGCAGAAGACGCAGGGCAGAGTTATGTGAATTTAAAAACGTTATCGAAGAGAGCTTCGGTGGGGTCTTCGTATACGCAACCAGCGAATGGCTACTGCGCCGGCAGGATCAGCGCGAAGGCTTCCCATCTCAAGCTGCACAGGCTTCACGGCCAGTACGACGACATAGCAATAGCTGTGACTTGCTCCGCCACATCGAACGGCAGTCTTTACAACCCTGACACAGAAGGATCGACCAGCGAGATGCAAAATGCGATATGGTACACCACGCTTCGAAAGAAGGCGATGAGCAGCAGCACAGCAGAGCTGAAATACATAACCTCTCCAACGAGGTTCGTCAATGCTCTGAGAGGCACAGGTCTGGAGTCACCTCTTCGCTCTCCGTTTGGACATTCGACCGACTTCGATATTTCCACAAGTGGTATTGTCTTTCTTGCAAAAGATGGACCCAGCTGTACAACCCAGCCTGCCAGTTTCAATGTCTACTACACTCCTCTCAAGACTTTTACTGAAATGTCAAGGCCAAGACCTCAGATCATCAACATAAAAGGCTTCGAAGGGCGGAGCTCCAACCCCGTATTCTCTCCAAGCGGTAACTCTGTAGCGTTTCTGAAAAGGCGGGAGCTTGCAGACTCCAATGACAGGAAACGAGTGATCGTGGTTGACAACATCCGTGACTTTCGAGCTCATATGGCCATTGACAACATGCCCACGCAGCAGAGTGAGAAAGACTGGCACTTGTCACCCTACAGTGTAGCTTGGAGTGACGATGGCAAAGAGTTGTATGTCGTTGCGGTGGAGACTGGTATCCGGAGGCTGTTCAAGATTCCTGCCAATCTCTCTTCCATCAAGACCGCGCCAGAACCCATCACAAGCGATAGCACTACGCCGGCGGATGTGCGGCATCTAAGAATGGTGTTCTCTGCGCCAATGGATTTAACGCCAGAGCGCTCTTCTGTGGGCTAGTAAGTCTATCTTACGGCTATTGTACGACCTGATTCCCTCTGCTCTGCTTATGAGATGATGTCTTTTGCTGTTGAAGCAAATTGCTGACATTCCGAGGGCGTGTAACTCCATGGAAACCTTGGAATATGTTGTAAGACTTGCTGAATGTTTACCTGGTCCTGACGTTGCAGGAGCTTAATACCTGAATGCTGATTAAGAAGGGGTCGTACTGTAAAGAGATCGTGGATCTTGGGGTAACAAGCTCCTTGTTCCGTTATATATAAACATGTGCTGTACCTTCACTCTAGTGATGTCGTCGTTGTTGTTGCCGAGACACTATAGATGGCTAGTATCTCGGCGACATAATGGATGGCTAGTGTCAACACCAGTTATATACAAAGGAGCCTTTCGTCACGTCTCTTCCTATCTTGTCTTGCACTCAAGGTGGTCTCAATTTCATTGGACTTCATGAAACTCACGACAAGCTATCACGGTATATGACCTTTCTATGTCAGCTATTGATAGATGCTAATCCCATGAATGCAGCAATGTCACCGTCACAAAGCCCATCCATCCAGCCTCACTTCATCAACTTGAACCAAATCGAGATGTCTATAATCCAATCCATAAAGCAAGAAACCGAAAACCTCGGTGGACCATGGTCGTGCAAGCTGTGTAACACCCAGTTCATCGACATCATGCGGCTTGTAACTCATCTCTTGACATTCTGTGATCGACATCGTTCACTCTCTACATTCTCGAATGTATCTGCAATTCACATTTGTATGCTCTTGGATGACTCTGGGTCCATCAAGACGCTCGAAACGTACATCCGTTTAGCTGGCAACGACACGGATAGCGAGGCTTCTACTCATGGCAGCGACACGGATAGCGAGGCGTCCACCCTTAGCAACGACACAAATAGCGACGCATCTGATCTTGCCGAGCTCTATCATGAGGGAAGCAATGAGCCTGGGAGTGATGGCGAGGGTGGTACTGGGCCTGTGTGGTTTGTCGATAACCAGGAAGAGGAAGGTCTCAGGTCCACGAGCGAGGACGAGGAAAGCACTGAGCTCGTCGATGAAGATTCTACTTCTGAGGCACACGACGAGGATGTGAAGATGAACGACCCAGTCGCAAAGGGTCTTCGACTACAAAAGAAGCAAGAGTTCCCGACTACTCCCCCTGCTCAGCTATCAGCAGAAATGAAGGCAGAGTGGACATTCAAGCACGATCGTAAGTGCTACCCCCATTCTCCCTACCACTGGCAATGACGCAAGACCACGCTCTAACCTCATGATGTGATAGGCGCAAGAGAGATCCGGGAGATCATGAAAACGAACCTCAAGCCCAACAGCAAACACATCGACAGAGATGCCGCATTGGCCGGCTGGAACTCCACCGCCCACCCATTCAGCTGGGAGCCAACTGCCCCCAAGACCGGGGCCTACAAGAGCTACGGCGTCCTTTCAAGCCGGTATGCCACCCCTGATACTGCTCCTCGCGTGGGGCGTGCTGACACACTTCCAAGGGAGAGTAATGATAGAAAAAGGCTTCTCGAATTGACGGAGAAAGCGAGAAGGAAGCCGTGATGGGGAAAACTGGAGATGGTAGCTACCGGGCCGTCTGACGTCTCATGCGGGGCTCTTCAAGGAGCAATCAATGCGATCCGATTCAACCTCTTCCCCTTCTTTCTCCCCCGCCCGCAAGAACCCTAACACCGTTCCCACGAGCGCACGAACAAAGGTCCCACACAGGCCCAAGTTCAGAAATGCAAAGCTTAGCATGTAGTATCACAACACAACCACATCAACAACCCCAGCCCACCCCACCTCACATCTCCCCCAAAAAGCGCACACGACCCCCTTCCCACCCCCACCCTACATCATCACCGTCCCCCCCCCTTTTTCCCAAACACCGTAACCACCAAACACCGTAACCACCAACACCCCCCTCCCCGCCAAGCAGCACACCGTTGCGCTAGCCGCCCACCTCCCACCAGACCATGCCATGCCATCTTCTTCGCATGGCCTTACACGAGGAATGTGACGCAGGCGCCGCGGTTCGAGCTCGAGGGCGACGTGTGGTAGCCCGCGGCGGGGGGAGGGGGCCGGTCCTGTCGCGGGCGGTGGGGACGTCGATGGGTGTGATGGTTTCCGGGAGAGTGAGGAGGGCGGGGGGAGGGGGTGATGTATTTGGGCTTGGAGGTGGAGGTGGAGGTGGAGGAAGGGGACGGGACGGGAGGAGAGGAGAGGAGAGGGGGAGAAAGATGTCAGGTGGTGAGATCGAGGGGGATCATCGGGACGGGATGGGGGTACGATGGTGGAGATGAGGGAGACACAAACGGAGATATTGTTTGATTCTTTTCGTTTGTGGGATGTAGAAGAGAACGCATGGGGACAGAGGAAGACGAGGGAGGATGGGGGGAAAGGGGCTTTTGCGTGGGAAGGGCAGGGGTCCTTTGATTCACTTGTGGGCTCTTTCGCTCGCATGCTGCCATCCAAAAAACTTCGCGTGGCGGCGTCGCTTGTGCAGATCCACGTGGAAGATGCTGATGGCCGACTGAAGCTATCACGATCGCCCGGGTTTCTCAGCTATGAGAGGTTTGGGAACCGTGTGCTTTGCGTGGAGCAGATGCTCGGCTGAAAACTTGGTCCGAGTCAACGATGTATCAGGAAAAGGAGAGCGCTATCTGGCGTGCTGCTAAAGGGGACGGTAATGGTTCAGAGACGCCGTGGAGTCGGATCGGCGACAGATAGATATGATATACGGCCAAATATGTAACGAAAGTCAAATCTGGCTCTTGTAACCTACAGCGGAGCCTTAATGCTCACGTTCCCATCCGTCTTCCCGTCACGCTCGTATTTGTCAAAGGCTGCAGGATCTTCGATAACCGGGATGCCCATTCTTTCCGCTTCGATCTGCCTGATGGGTCCAGTAAACCACTTCCGCGCCCACAAGAACCAGCTACCGAAAGCCCATAGAGCTACAATTCCGACGGCAACAGGTGTGTAATTCAATGTTTGGCTGTTGACAGGATTTAGCTCTGGCAAACAGAACACGATAGTGATAAAGCCAATGTATAGGCAGGCCACAGCGGCTATCGGTCGTGACGCAGCACGCAAGTTGAATGGGCCCTTTTTGAAATTGGCTGGATAGATGAGACCGATCAGGATGGGAAGGCCATATGACAGGTATAGCCCAATGGTGGCGATAGACGTAGCCGCCGAGAACGCAACACTGGAGCCAAGCGAAGGTATGGCAAGTAGGAATGCAAGAAAGGCTGCCAAGCAGATTGTCCTGATGGGTGCCTCAAACCTCGCATCCACTGTAGTAAAGAATGGAGGTAAGCCGCGGTCGCGAGCGAAGCCGAACATCATTCGAGAATTCGAAGTCATGGAGAAAAGCCCAGCGTGCCAAACACACACTATGATGAGGGTCATCAGAGCGATAGCACCTTTGTTCCCGAAAATATCAATCAAGATCTGCGTTACTGGCTGGCCGACTGAACTGTCGACTGTAGTTGCAAAATCTTGGATGCAAAAGAGGAGCGAAATGAGGAGGAAGAAGCCGAAGACTGCCGACACTCCTACGGACATGAGCACTCCGAGCGGTGCATTCCATGCTGCGTTGTTTGTTTCCTCGGACAAGTGGGCGGAAGCGTCGAAACCAGTGATGGTATACTGTGCCATTAAAACACCACATACGGCAACATAAGCAGGTGAGGCTCGCACGCTCCAACCGGGCGACGGGGTCTCTCCTGTTCCATCGTAGAAGGTAGCGAAGACTGCCTTGGCCGACTGGTGGATTGGTGCTTTAGACAATATGGCAATGGCGAAACATGTAACTCCAACCGAGTGGAGAAGGATAGACGTGTTGTTGAGATATCGAAGGAAAGAAACGCCGAAGCTGTTGGTAAGTGCATGCGATATCAGAAGAGCGGCATAGATTCCAATCGTCTTGCCTGCAGTTGCCGTGTAGCTGGTACCTATAGTTGCAGTTGTGGAGATGAGTTCTGCACAGCCGAATGTGATGCCAGTCGTTACCGCAACCTGGCCGAGCAGATTGAACCAGCCTGTGATCCAAGAGTAAAAAGCTGACTTGTCATCTGGGGCTAAGATGGCAGCCCAGAAGTAGGGACCTCCGCTGGTGGGAATGGCAGATACGATCTCCGCCATACCGAGGGCGACGAAGAAGGTGAAAAAGCAGACGACGATCCAACCGACGGACATGACGCCTGGTCCACCTGTAGACAGTCCATACTCGAACAGAGTAGTGATCCCGGTGATGATGCTCTAGATGCCGGTTAGTTGGTTGATCGATCGATTCTACTGACAATGCACCAATGCGACAATCCGTCCAACAAGACCTTCAACGAAGCTTTCGGTGCCTCTTGTCTTGGTTCACAGCATTGTTACTAACAGGAATGTGGGTACAATGTCATGCAGTCGCAGATAGGGTCAGAAAGAGAATAGAAAAGCTAGGATCTTACAATGATGGAGAAGGAGACACCAAAGTTGTGTAGCAGTGACCAATTGCGCTTTAGCTCTTGCTTGTACCCTAGTTCTGCAAGGCGATCCTCATCCTGACCTTTGATGGAGGGTCCTGGATCTAATTCGTTGTCCATACCGTAGTTTAGTAGTATAATATAATCTGTTGGCCTCAAAGCTATCTTAAGCTGCTCAACGCTCGGACAATGTGGAAGTAATGATCTGATGCAGGTTCAAGAGTAGACTGCAGGAGGCCTGGAACACTCTTCGAAATCACTATTGCAATTGCAACAAAGAGAAAGGTCAAACATTGTGATACTGAGGGTATACATTTTGTAGCTGACGATAGCAATGCCGTCGCTATCTCTAAGCCGTTTGATTGCCGTTGAATAATTGTGCCCCGAGAGTCCCACACTAATAATATAGAATCCGGTCAGCTTCCGTTTCCGCCTGGCTTGGCATATCTCTGTGGTAGAGTACTGATAACGGCTTGATTGGTTCGCTTATTTTCACCCCTTAAGGCCTAGTCACATGTTGACCTCCTCATTTTCCAAACTCAATGCCCCCTTCTTCAAAATGGCAGACAGCGAGAACCCACTGCTCAAGGCGCTGCCACCAGAGACAGACTACCTCTCCTACCTCACCATCCTCGAGTACAATCTCACGGCCGAGCAGCTCCCTACTCTACACGACATCCTTCAAGACACCACACTTACTGCCAACATTGGATGGGATCTGGTCCACTTGTTGCTTCCCCTGCTTCCTGCGTCACAACAATGTATACAGGATGTAGCACGCTTGGGCAATCCGAGGGAGGTGGTGTTAAAGGTGACTGAACTCTTGGAAGCATTTGGAGAAGAAGAGGAAGCGGAGGGCGAAGAGGAGAGTGAGGACATTGAGGAATTAGAAAAGCTGAAAGAGCCTGGAGTAAGTGAAGACGATGCACATGAGGATGATGTTCAAGATGGCGAGAATGTGGCCGCAAAATTCACGACTTCTGAAGGGCCGTCTAGGCCTCCATCAAAGGGCGTCAAATTCACAGCTTTACTCGAGATGCTTTCAGTTCTCCACCCGCGCATCAAGACCAAATACCCAAGTCGCTTCCTATCGACATCCTTACAGGCCATTCTACCAGCCTACTCGCAAGTAGCTAGGACTACGGAAGCAACAGAAGCCGTGTTAGGATTCATCAAGGCTCTGTCTGGAACCAGGAGGCCTAAGTTGCCGCCTCGGAAGAGTAGCGTCATGATACCTACACAAGCAACTCCTGTATCTGCGCCTGATCCGGAAGGCCAAGACGAAGCTTTGGGGGTGGACGAGAAAGGTTTGCAGTCTCGACTGTTGCAGTCCTTCCTAACCTACGTTACCGAAGCCTACATGAGTTCAACTGCGCTGGATGAGGATGTCCCGGGTCTGGCCTGGTCTAGCAGATATCAAGAGGAGCTACATCCTGAGAAAATCATTCCGGGACGGCGGACGTACGGTAGTCTGTTCGCGGAGGAAGAGCATCTGCATGAACGAGATACGATCACGGGCCATATCCTGGTAAGTCTTGTGAACTTTGCCGGAGAAGGTCGCTGACGATTGCAGTCACTCGCTCGAGACCTCAAGCTTGGTGCAGAAGAATTGCTCTCGACCATCACAAAGCCAGATGAATTAGACTTGGATGAAGAGCAGGAGCTCCCATCTTCCGCATCTGACGTTCCCTTGTCGAAGACAGGCTCGATATACATCTTGGCAACAATGGCAGCCTCATCCACCCTTTTCGACGCTCCAGCATCTTTGCCATCTTTAAGCCTCGTTCCAGACTTCGCAGGCATACTCGCTAGCTCGCTCGGTGATTCGGCGACTGGCAGTACTGGGGCAGAATCAGAACCACTCATCGATGCAGTCCTCTTCCTAGGTTTCCTCATCATCGGTTCGCAACCAAATGTCGCGGCGGGAGCTGATAATGACCACGTTTTCAACAATGTTCTCCAACGACTTTCTCTGCTTTCCGCAAATATGCCATCTCCTGTTCTACGATACCATGCCCACCTCCTGACATCAACGATACTCCATCTCAATCCTTCAGAAGACTCCCGTCTGGCATTCATACGAGATACGCTGGAGCACTGCCCCTTCGAAAATCTCAAAGCAAGCGCCATCGGCTGGTTGAAGGATGAGATACTTGCGGCTGAGAAAGCTGAACGGAGCAAGGACGAGCCAGATGCAGAGGATTCAATATTCGCAACATCCGCTGCGCTGAACAGCCTTGCACCGTTCATCTTTCCGAACCCGGAGAAGCTTATGGAAGGCCAATCTATTACGGGCAGCTATGCCACGTTTCAGGCACATCAGCCGTTCTATCTCGCTGTCCTCAACCTTCTCTATCTACTCCTCACGTCTACCACCCTATCTAGCCGTCTACAAATGGCCGAAGTAGCGAAGCAGAACGAATTACCCAGGTTTCTGGACTCTCTATTGCAAGCTGCGAAGAAATTTCAGAGTAGCCTCTCAAACGACGAATTGGAGTATGGAGATGAGCAAGGAAGGAACGACGGGTTTTTAGTTATGGAGCTTATGGAGATGGCAGTTGGGCAGGCTCAGCATGCACTTTCGAAAGTTGGAATGAAGGACTTGGAAGCTTGATTGGTGTGTTTCGATAGGTGACGATGGCGTGGATAATCACAGATAGGAGTGAACGTCAAATTTCGAATTGCCTCTGGGATCTTCCCCTTTCCCCTGCGCTCCGAGCATGATTTTTCGGATCCTTTGTAGACATATGCTTTCACATCAGCACGCTCTTCCTCTCGTAGCCCACCCATGTCTTTCATCCGCCCGTTCCCAAGATATCTCGCCTCTGGACAAAGCCCCCTCCCCCCACCCCCACCCCCACACACAAACCCTCCAAGATTGCTGCGCCTGGGCAAAAAAAAATCTGACAAAACGAAATCGACACCTGCAGGATTTGAACCTGTGACGAATCAGTCGTGAAATTTTCCCATGGTGATTCATGGGCGCGACTTACCTGCGCTCACGAATGAAACAGATGTCGAGAATGGAGAAAATTCGAGTCTGTCGCCTTAACCACTCGGCCAAAGTGTCACGGAACGAGTAAAAATGTTCCTATTTCCATATCTCAAGATGTATCTTAACATAAAACAAGGGGAGAAGGGCGTGGAAGTTTGGTAGCGATCATGATTTCATGAACTTCATCCTCGTCAGTCTGAACTCGCATAGAATCATCCATTCATTCACTCATTCGATCGCTCGATCCCCGCCCGCCAACCCTTTTCTTCCATACCATTCCACCCAACTCTCCTCTCCTCTCCTCTCCCACAATCACAACCACAACCACCCAACCCATCCACTCCCGTAACCAAGTCGAGTCGAGTCGCCAAACCAAACCAAACCAAAGCAAACAACAACAACCATTCAACCGAACCCACAACCCCTCACTCCACCTAGCCCTCCCAACGACGCAACCTCCCCCCTCACAGCTCCAAACCCTCCATACACCCACCACACCCATCTCACCGCATCCACCTCCCACCTCCCCACCCCCGAACGCAACAAAATGGCCACCCAACCCGCCCACCCGACCCCGACCCCCACCCCCCTCCGCCCCATCTTCCTAACCCTCCTCCTCGCCTGCCCCGTCCTGCTGCTCCTGCCCCCCCGGAAACTGGACCTGTACACCTTCTGCCTCGCAGGGGCGATGGTCGTATCGGCGGAGGAGCTCGCCTTCGGGTCGGGCGCGCGGGGGAAGATGCCGTGGGGGCGGGCGGAAGGGGAGGGAGGGGAAGAAAAAGGGGAAAGGGGGGAAAGGGGGGAGGGGGTGAAGGGGCTGGCGGGGAGGTTGTGGATGGGGGACGAGAGGCCCGGGTGGCAGGGGCGGCGGCTGGAGCGGGAGAGGGAGGAGTTGGGGCGGGGGAAGGGGTATGGGGATATTATTATGGGGCAGGTCCGGGAGGTGTTTCCGGGGTTTGGGGGGAGGGGGGAGGAGGGGGGGGAGGGGAGGGGAAAGGGAGAGTAGTTGGGGATGGGTGGGCGAAGGGGGAGGGATGCTACTTGCGGCGAGGGGGCTATTGTTTTACTCGCATACCAGGGGAGTCGGGGAGCATTGCGTAGGCGCTGGTCTGGGGACGTTCGTTGTATGTATGTACGCTTTTCTATCTATGCCCCTGGTGTGATGCTGAGTCTATTGAAAATGACAAATGAAGAATGACTGGCAGCTGCCCTCGATATCTTGCCGCTTCTGGTGCCGAAGCCCATGCTGATCGCTTTTGTGAAGGTTGTATGCCACATTCTCTTCTCGACGTTAGGGAAGCACGCCGAACTTTTGGAAAATCAACCATGGGTGTCGCCTGTAATGATGCTGCCGATATGAAAAGATGTTGTCTGAGCAAAGCCATGCTGCAGAGGCTTGCTGCCTGCATGTTTGATATCGCTGGGGATGATTGTCGTCGAAATGAGTTCTCCCCACAATCAACAAAGGGGCTGTTGCCCCACAGCATGGCAATCACCAGGGGTAGTCTTCATCGAGATGAGGAGGGAGCGTCTGATTCTTCATCTGCTCCTCTATCTCCTCCATCGTTGGAGCCTCGACTTTCAGCGACCCATCGGCATGCCTCCCGGTCACTTTCAAGAAACCACCTGAGACAACGTGGAGGACATGACCGTATGCCTGCGTCTCACGTATCTTGCAGCGCTCACTGTTGGATTCCATGTGGGCTGTAAGTGCCGCTGGCGACTTGAATATTCTGAGGCATCTCAAGCAACGATGGTCCGTTCCCTGGTGGAAGCCCGAGGACAAATGCATCTTCAATTGGTCCAGGTCGTTGTAGGTTTGTCTGGCGATTATCAGCTACCGCAAAATGGCAGAAGGAATCAATTAGACCCCCTCAAAACTTACAGGCATTTGGAGAAAGGACAGTGATACGTATCATCCGCGGGATCACGCTCCAGTGCTAAATTGTCCCAATCTGTACGGATCCGGTGTTCTGTACCACATTCCGACGGCAAGATATTCTTACGATAGTCGGGTGTCGTAGGAGCAGTCCACCCTCCTGTCACTGGCGTCGTTTTGGCTCCCGGAAAGAGCTTCGCAGCCCAGGCCTGCTTCCCTGAAGGGACTGCGGTGGAAGGTTCTATTCGTAAAGCTTGCAGACCCTCGATCACACCGCCCTCCGGGACGTTGCTCTTGCTCGTGTCTCCAGAACTGGTGGGTAGCCCGGGCTCGTCATCGTCAAAGGTCGGTCGTTCTGCTCCATTGGACGCAATTGTTGACTCAACATCGCCTAGGTCTAAGTCTTCAGCACGGCTCAAAGCCCGAGCAGTGAGATGGCCGTATGGTATATAGTCGTCCATGAGGTTCAAACGTACACCACCCTCGGAATTATCGACGAAAGATGTACCTCTCTCCGACTGAGGTTGCATCGCGGCGATTTCTGCGCCTATGGTACTGGGCTGGTTAGAGATGGCATCCAAATGCAACGCTGCGGCAGCTCGATATTCTCTGATGATATTCTGGTTGACTTTCTCCGCAATGAAGCCGCGGCGATCGCGGCATCGGTTGTTGTATATGTGATCGATCAAAGCAGAGCCCTTGTCGAAGACAATATGACAAGCTGGGCACTTGACCTCTTGCATTTTGGCGTGGTTCTATTTGTGTCAGTCAATGATGCCCACAGACTGGAACCGAAACCACGAGCTCACCTGCCTCATGTGACGCTCCTTGCCCCTATCACTACGAAAATCCTCGCCACAGATATCACAGCAAATGTGCATGTCGCTTTGGACTTTGTGCTCAAGCAATGCCACGTCATCGGCGCAGTCCACGTTACAGAGGCGGCACCATTCGTGGTCTTCATCCTTGTGTCTTTTCATGTCCGTCTCCTTGGTAAACCCACGGGTGCAATTTTCGTAGGTGCAGGGAACCTTGCTGTCGTGTTTGGCAGATTTGGCAAGCTTGCCCGCGTTCATGGGTGGTGTTGGCTTGGGAGCTTGGGTAGCTGCCGTTGACTTACCGCGAAGATGAGGCGGCGGCATGTCCTGGAGGCTTGTGTTTGAGGCTGGCTGCTGCCTCATAGTTGACGCTTTGGAGGACGAGGCTTCGCCGGCGTACTCATTCCAGCTTTGTTTTGGGATGGATTGTTGCCTCACAGTTGACGCTTTGGAGGACGAGGCTTCGCCAGCGTACTCACTCCACGTGGGATTTGTTTTAACTATAGAAGGGCCACGAACCGTGGAAGGCAAGTTGCCTGAGCGATTGCCAGACCAAGCGGAGCCACTCGTAGCGGAATCGTCAATGCTGTGGACATTGGAAGGCAAATTGCTGCGTGGCTCGGCATGTACAGCCTTCGTGAATTTGCCATTGATGATGGTTGGTTTTTGTTGTTGCTTGTTAGGTTGGCGGAGGTGCGGTGGCTTGCTGGGATCCATGGCGACTAGGATGGTGTTTATCGAAGGAATGATGGGTACAAGAAGGTTGAATGTTATGTTGTTGCAAAAGTGATTGAAGGAGAGTATGGTGATGTGAGGTGATCAAAAGCAAGTGAATAGGTAGACGCCCTAAAGAAGGGACCACAACAAGCGCGGGCCTTCCCCAGGTAAAGGGAGAGCAGGATGACTTCAACCCTAATGCAAGTTGGTTGTAGGTTGAAGAAATCTTTGGTCGAGTGTTGATTTGTTGTGGGAGTGAGTGAGACGGAGCTGCTGGTGGGTAAAGCCTCGAGTGTTCGAAATGAAAGGGTCAAGTCTCTTACGAGTGAGAATTTGACGGCTGAGAAGCAGATTTCTCGCCAGTGACACCTGGCCGTCGAAGAAAAAATGTTCGCAAGTGGAGATGGTTGACAAGATCAAGCCAAGATTTATGGAATCGATGGCCTTGGATGATAATATATGACAAGATGACTCGAAGGTCGAGAAATGGATTCAGGCCGCCAAAGCTGATTTGATGAAAGCGAGATTTGGTAAGGTAGCTCTTGAATTTCAGAAGCACACCAGCTAACAAGTTCAACTGTACAGCTACCTTCCGTCACAGCCATACCAGCTACAGTGCCCAGCCAGAACGATCCCTCCTATCATGGTCAAAGTCCACAAAACCACCATCGCCTCTTCCCTCCCCTTCCGCCTCCCTTCTCGTCTTTGGCTGTTCCCATTCTACTCCTCATCCCCGCCCTACTCTCCGCTTCAAACCTCTCCAACCCCTCTCTCGTCGCCTGCAACACCCTCTCCTGCCTCTCCCACATCGCCAATGGCCGACTCGGATGCGCAATGAACTCCTCCGCCCCTAATGCATTGCCGGATGGCGAATGCACGATCCCGCCTTTCGGTGCGTTCGGCGAAGTCAATGGTTGAGAGGAAGAACGGATGCGTGATGGTGAATCAAGATAAGTCTGTTCGCGAAGGATGTCACGAGGATCAAGGATCTCGGAGATGCGTGTGAGCTGGCGTGGTATTGCTGGAATAGAGATTTCGCTGAGTAGGGTGTCTGGGCTAATTGGACTGGTGGGACTGGTTGGGTTGGATGGAGAGCTGATGCTGGAGGGGGAGCTGATATAGGTGGTGAGAAGGGAAGCCGAGGAGGTGGAGGAAACGCGCTTGGATTGCTTTTGGCCCATTTTCATCAAATTTCGAAGAGCGCCTCAGGTTTTGCATATGGCGTCCTCTTTGCAAAGTCAATGGATTGTGTTGAGCTAGGCTGGTTCGACACTACCTTTTGACACTGTAAACAGTCAATTAAGAAGACTCATCAACCGGTTCATTGAAGGCATATCACTGGCTTTCACAGATGATAGTTGATGGCTTGATGGCGTCCAAACGGAGGCCATTTTGCGTGGTGGAATTTGCTCGTGGTAGACTCGTGGAGGAAGTGAACGAAACGGGAAGGACGATTCATGGTGTCTTCGTGTCCTGGGCTTGGCGTTTCCACCCGGACAGGCATAGTGAAAGCATTGCAATCAGACTGAAACAGTGTCTACGAAGGGAAATGGCTAAGGTAACAGTGGCGAGATTGTGTTGCTTCGAATCACGACAGGGAGGGAAAAAGACGTCGAGTCTTTTACTACTCATTTATATAGATGGATCACGCTTTAGAATATCTCTATTCAGAATCTGGAGAAAGGCAACCTAAAGCTGTAGTCAGTCATCTGTCCAGACATGCCGCTCCCAGAGAAACGATGTACCATTTGCCTCTCAGGGTGATGATAGCCCAGTTGTTCCCGTCCTTGTCTGTCTCTTTCTCGACCTTCGTCGAGAACGAAATAGCACTCATTATCCCGTCTCCAAACTTTTCATTCAATATGGCTTTGTATGCGTATCCGTAATTCTGTACAATTTCGTAGAGGCGGTAGATTAACGGCTCCCTTGGCGGCATGTCCATGACCTGGCCACGGAATGGGTAGCCTGCCAACTGCATCCCAAGCTTGCTCTTGTCCACGCCCAGAATGTCGGCGAGCTTTTCAGCATCTTCGGATGTTGTTTGGGCTTGGCCGTAGAAGATGGCTGCAACAGCTACTTCATTGCGGCCAAGCTGCTTTGCTATGTCTTCGAAGGTGAGGTTCTTGGCGGCTTTTGCTTCGAAAAGAGTAGGGGCTTGGACAGGGAGGCGGTCACGGAGGGAAGACTGTAAGCAATTGGTCAGTGTCTTGGTCAGTGTCTGTTAGTCAACTGGTGACGTTTCACTCGCATCTAGTGTAGCAACTCGAGTACCGCTGGTAGCCATCCTAGCAATGTTCAAAGATACGAGAGATGTGAGACGTCGTTGATGTAATGGGGTCAATTTCGGCAGTGCTCTTGGTGTCGTTTTTAGGAGTGTAGAGGCCATTGAGGCGTGATATAAGAGCAGAAGATGATGCAGGATGTGGTTTCAACGTAGGGTCCGTGAATCATCGGGTAGATGGAGCCCCTCGGAGGGTGGAGGAGATCGTCATGCTTGGCTCAGTACTCTAGCCCCCCCCTTCGAAGACCGCCGCCAGTTCCGCATCTCCGCTATCAACTCTTAAACAACTTACTCTCAGAGATCTCTTGGCAAGTTGCAGAATGATAGTACAAGGGGTATCATTGTTCTGACATGCTGATAGACTGTCGCTGTCAGTGTTGCGGCTCGCGCCTGCCCTGTTGGATTGAAGTCGGCTGGATGCTGATTGGTCCCTGATGTGCCCAGCTGCGTCTGCAGTCAGCGAGAAGCACGTCTTTATTCCCACGTCTGGCACAAGGGATATCGAGCTTGAAACATCTCACCACCTCAGGTCTTCGGACCGAATTGCAATCCCTAGTAGTATCCTTATCATTGTGTTTTTGTCTGATTAGCAATAATGGATCCTAGAGCTGGCCAGCAGCCTGGCGGTAGGGAAGATGATCCTTTGGCCTACGGAGACTATCCTGGATCTTCAGGCAGCAGATTCCGGGAGGAAGGGGAGTACGATGAAGGAGCAGAGGGAGAGCGAGGCCTGATCGGAGACACTTATCGAAAAGTACGAGACAAATATATGCCTCCGCACGATGGCAGCAGCCAGTCAAACCCATCTGGCGGTCTAGGGTCTTTCCTTTTTGGCAAGCTTCAGAAAACGGTCCAAGACATCGGCTCTGGAATCGATCAGAAGCTCGGTGGAACAGGTCCCAAGCATAGCCATACTCATGCAGGCGCTCAGTGCGACAATGGGATGCACAACACTAGCCAACATCGTTACGGCAGCTTTGCAGCTCAAAGAACTGGCAACGACGCAAAGTGGTATGTCGATGGTTGTGGTTACATGTGGGCCGTGTCTAGAGCTCTGGAGCAAGCGACAGAGTCCATATGGATCCTGGACTGTGAGAAATCTCTTTGCTACCAAGCAGTTTCTCCGACTAACCGGTCAATAAGGGTGGCTGTCACCAGAGCTCTACCTGCGGAGACCTCCTTCCAAAAATGAGCAGTATCGCCTTGACCGCATGTTACAAGCAGCCGCTCAACGTGGTGTCAAGGTCAACGTTATTGTTTACAAGGAGGTGACGCAGGCTCTAACGCGTAAGTACCTTTCTCCAACCTTGCCAGACTATTTGCACTCTCTTCTACCAAGAAACACCGATCCTATAACTCGAGCGCTCAGTGGCATGGGTCTTGCCGCTACCTTTCTGTCCCTCGAACACGTGGAGAGGGAGAATCCGCTGATGGCCCCTGCTTCGACAGTCTGCTCGTATCACACCAAGCATGCACTGGAGGACCTTCATCCCAACATAGCAGTCTTCCGACATCCTGATCATCTCCCCGATGCCCAGACTCTCCAGTCTTCTTTCTTCTCCTCTTTGCAGCACCTATCTCTAAGCGCCAAGACTGCTTCTCAGCTACCTGAAGATGCCTTGAAGGCCATCTATGGTATGAACGAAGATGTCGTCCTTTATTGGGCACATCACGAGAAGCTGTGTCTCATCGACGGCAAGATTGCTTTCATGGGCGGGCTGGATCTATGCTATGGAAGATGGGACACGAATCAGCACCCGATCGCTGATTGTCACCCTTCCAATCTTGATGAAATTGTGTTCCCGGGGCAGGACTACAACAACGCTAGGTGAGCATTAGCCTCGGTGAACAGGTTTTGCTCGAGTAAGTCGTAGTTGACGCTCGATAGGATCATGGACTTCCAAGATGTCTCGCATTACCAAGACAATAAGCTGGACCGCAGAGACAGCTCAAGAATGGGCTGGTCAGACATCTCAATCAGTCTGAGTGGCCCTGTTGTGGAAGACCTGCGAGCCCATTTCGTAGAACGGTGGAACTTCATCTATAACGAGAAATACGACGTCCGGAAAGATACGAGATATTCAAGGCTCACTTTTACCCAGAATGCGGCGGGGACAGTGCCTCATCAAGCTTCTCAGGCACTTCCACCAGCCTCTCAGCCATACCTGCCTTACCAACCACAGTCGGTTGGGTACCAGAACTTAGGCTCATCTCAGGGTAATGGAGGCTACCCTCCTCCATCCCAAGGGCGTCCTCCGCAAGCGTACGGGCAATATGGTGGGCAATCAGCCAACCCCACTGGAGTAGCTCAAGAGCAGGTTCCGTACTTCCCACCACCTCCTGTCTCCAGCCGTGATATCGGTGGTCAGAGCTCTGACGAAGAAGACGCGGCCCGTGGAATGGGCGAATATATGGCAACACCAGGCGGTCATCACCAGCATCGCGAGCGTTTCGAAGAAAAGGCGGAAACTTTACAAGAAAACATGATGGGAAGGTTTGAAGCCGGCCGGCAATACATGAGCGGCAACGAGCACTATAGCAAGCTACATGGTCACACCCAAGACGCAGGCATACCCTGCCAGATCGTCAGAAGCTGTACCAAATGGAGTCATGGCATATCCACCGAACATTCAGTCGCAAACGCCTATATCAGCATTATCGAGAACAGTCGCCATTTCATATACATTGAGAATCAATTTTTCATCACAGCATGCACCGACGCTCAGAAGCCCGTAAAGAATAAGATCGGCGCAGCGATTGTGGAGCGAATTCTACGTGCAGCAAGGGCTGGCGAGAAGTACAAGATTATTGTAATCATCCCTGCCGTCCCAGGCTTTGCCGGAGATCTCAAAGATGACGCCAGTCTCGGAACTCGGGCCATCATGGAGTTTCAATACAATGCTATTAATCGTGGTGGACACAGTATCATGGAGATGGTTGCGAAGGAAGGATACGACCCTACCGAATACATTCGTTTCTACAATTTAAGGAACTACGACCGCCTTAATGTTGGCGAACCAATGCGGAATGCTGAGAACAAGAGTGGCGTGAATTACGAAGATGCCCGGTACGAGCATGATGCCGCTGTAGGATTGCCTGCCGGAGATCGAAGCGCGCAGTACGCAGGTCGTCAAAAGTATCAGCAATATCAACAAGCAACGACGAATATGAACAAGCAGCAAGGACTCTACACCGGAGACTGGGATTCGGTTTCTGAGTGCTACATGCTTGGCGGTAGGGACATCCGTGATGTGCCTTGGGAGAACGGGAATATTCCAGAAATTCAAGCCTTTGTCAGCGAGGAGCTGTATATCCATTCGAAGGTGAGCTAGGTCAATGAATCAACGATCAGGTGCTGATTTTAATAGGTACTCATTGCCGACGATCGCATTGTCATTTGCGGCTCTGCCAACCTCAACGATCGCTCACAACTTGGGGATCATGACTCTGAGATTGCATGCATCATCGAAGACCCTATTTCCGTTGACTCTTATATGGATGGCAAGCCCCACCGAGCAGCAAAATTCGCGGCCACGCTTCGACGACAATTATTCAGGAAGCACTTGGGTCTACTTGCGCCGCAGAACATGGAGAAGCCGAATCAGAATTTCGAGCCCATTGGCGTTCCCAACATTTACGACTACGGTTCGCGCGAGGATCAGGCAGTGATGGACCCATTGTCGGACAGCTTCTTAAACCTATGGAATAGTCGTGCCCAGACCAATAGCGATGCATTCGGCAGAATCTTTCACCCTGTCCCGCACGACGGTGTATTGACGTGGAGCGATTACAACGCGTTCTACGAAGTCTTCTTCAAGGACTCAGACGAAAATGCTGTAGGTAAAGACTTGAAGAAGCCCGCGAAGTACAAGTGGGGCCATGTTGTTGAGTCGAACTTTTCGCCTGGGGAAAGAGGTACGAGGGAAGTTAAGGACTTGTTGAGTACCATCAAGGGGACGCTGGTCGAAATGCCGTTGCTGTTCTTGATCAAGGAGGACATCGCGAAAGAGGGAATCTCGCTGAATGCTTTCACTGAGGAGGTGTACACCTAGAAGATGACCGGACCTTGGTTAGGGGATACCCCTGAATTGCTCGATCTTGCTGCAGTTGCCCTTTAGCTGGCCAATGGTATGAGTGAGAAGTTGTCCCGTGCGAAAAGAGGTGTCTTCATGGGCTACACAAGAAGTCTACCCCACAGTACTCGCCAAGAATTGCAATAGAAGATAAACAGCTGGGCTGTGGCATAGACTGCGTGGACCATGACATCGCGAAAGCGTTGAGGATAGAGTGAACATAAGAATCACCGCTTAAATGATGGCTACGACCTCGCTTGCGTTGAGAACAATAGTAAGCATGAACAATGTCGCGCTTGGAATGCACTCACACTAGCGACGGATGCGACACTATTGCACTTGAAAACATGACCGTCCCATACCGCATTGTATCGTGTCTGTGTCATGATTGTTGCGGTGCTTTTGGGCGTTGTATCCGGGATTCGTGTGTGGCTGCATTCGAGTTCCAGCTGTGTGGGAAGGTAACATGGGAAGTGCGCCTCAGCTTGAGACCGGCATACGGGTCTCTGCCATCCAAAGTGATATTGGTAGACAGGAGAGTCTTGTTTAAGATGCGCAGAGCCTCGTGGGGGCATTTAGTTTCGCTGCTATTGGGTGGATGCCAGTGTTCACATCGATATTCTTCTCCCCACTCTTCCTCCCCGTCTCCCCTTTTTCAGATCGCCAGAGACTATGTATCGGTGGTAGATACTGTGAGCGACTTTACCTAATTCTAGGATAAGCCCAGTAAGATGATCTGGGATACCAGTTCGCGTCGACAAGTAAGCGATTAGACAGTCAGACCTTTCATTCTTCTTCCATTGCACACATGGCAAGCCCCGTTCAGAGACGAAAGCAGCACATCAAGTACTAACTCTAGCTGAGACGACAATGGACTCGAGAATACGTATGAGCGTGGGCCATATACCTCATGCTTGGGCACTGGACCAATATCTTGCGAGGCTAGCATCAGCAACAGCGGGCGGGATCGAAACATTGGAGAACTGACAGACGCCTCCCATCTTCAAGTATCAACACATGTCTCCACAATGCACATTCCCCCACCTGCCTCGTTCCCTTCTCTTGACATCTCGAACAAACCATGTGCAACAAACTGCCATCATCCATGCTTTATCATCCCGACCGTCTATTGTGCTCGAGTCATGGAAATCATTCACCTCGCACAATCGACTCCTTTGAAAGTATCGACGACAATACTAAGCAAGATGAAGCAACAATATTAAGGAGTCACAAAGCTCATGTTCACAATCACAAAGCCCGAGATGTAGTCCATTGACTCGAATTAGCACCATTGATCGCCTCAGCTCTGTGATCCTCAAGATTTGGTTTCCGGTACATCACTGGACATATGCTCGGCATCACTCTCCTACACCTACAAGTATCCTTCGTCGACCACTCTTCTACCTTATCCGTTTTCTCTTCTTCGAACAAGCACCTCCTCACAAGTCACGCAAACTCCACATACAACCCCCACCAAGCGCGCAACACTCTCGAACCTCTTCCAGCTACCACGCACAGACAGTAAGTTCGCATTCCTATTTTTCAATTGACCACTCACACATCACACACCTCCACCTACAACTCACATCAAGCACATACACTCTTCTCAAACTCCACTCAAGCCATCTCTCTCTCTCTCTCTCTCTCTCTCTCTCTCACTCTCTCACTCTCACTCTCTCACACACCAAAAGACAGTAAGATCCGCCCCCCACCTCACCATCTCATCACCACCATCATCAACCCACCACCAACAATCCACTAACATCCCCCAGCCATCCCCTCCACTCGTCAACCCCACTCGTCAACCTCACTCAACCAACCACCGATCCCCAACCTCACTCAACTCACCCCAACCAACCAACCAACCGACCATGCCCCCCTCCACCACCGCAACCGCCACCGCCATCATGTCTCCCCTCACCGCAGCCGGCACCCCCGCCGCCGAGACCGAGATGCCCCACAATCCGCAGGACCAGCGCGGTATGTCATCCCCCTCTTACTCACTCACTCACTCCCTTACTCACTCACTCCCTCACTCTCTTACTCCCTCCCTCACTCCCTCCCCCCCTACCCAAAAAACCCCCCCAGCTAACGACCGTCGCATCCCCAGGATCCGCGGGCAGTTTCTGCACCGTCATGTAGACGGCGCCGCCTCCTCGCCGTCCTCCCTCCTATGCTATGCCATGCTATCCAATACAATACATCCTTACCGTTATGAAATTCCAGCCTCACACACACATACACAAACACATCCCCCACATCCCCCACATCGGCTCCTGATGGCGATCAATCAATCAATCAACCATCCACCCACTGACTTCCCCATCCGCGATCCTCGACCACGCCGACCCTTTCCTTCCTGCCCTTGTCGATCACTACGCTGCGCCTTCTCGCCGCCTGCACGCCTGGCTGCAGGAAGCCTGTGCTCGCTCTGGGCAAAGGACGAATGGGCTGCCGAGCATGGTTTTTGATGGATGGTGTGTGGGGGCGGATGGATGGATGGATGGAAGGACGGAATGGAATGGATCCGCTACACGAACATGCACGTTTTTCCTTTATTTCAGCTCTTGCGCTTGACGATGGATGAAATGGATGGATGACATGGCCTCTTTCCTTTTTTCAATTTTCGGTACTCAGTGGCCGCCTGCCTGCTATCCTTCACTACGTGCGAAGGGATGAAGCGAACGTGCGGTCAGGTGGATCCTGGGGAGAGAATTGTACTTAATTCATGAGCACGAATGGAATGAGCTTGCACGATCATGATGCTGGGGATGGGTGATGTGATTATGCTATGCCATTTTCTAATCGAAGATTTGTGAAATGTATGGGACGCCATGTAACCCCTGTACGATGCCACGTAAGCTCCAGAAGCAAATCAAATTCTCCGAGGAGAGGGGAAGGAGGCTGACATGCTCAGCTCTCATAGCTAAATGCCTCTCTCGCTGACCGTGAGATATATGCGCACTAACGCTGTGTGAACCTTAAGAGCTTCTTCTTCCTGGCATGGGGAAGGGCAACCACACTCAGTTCTTGAGCGTAGAAGACCCTTCCACAAGACGTATCGTTCAAGCACAACCCTCTGCAACATGCAAAACATGCTGCAAAGAGGATCGGCACACACGCAAGGTCTATGCCTCCTGTCCATCAGAGGCGTCCCTCTCCTGCTAGCATCTTCTGGTCATGGACCATAGTCCTAACCAAACACAACAAGATGGTTGCTTTTAGTATTCTCCAGAACACCCGCACAACCTATCTACAGCTTCCTGCGCTCGTGTCAACTTGAGCGCAGCAACAGCCCTCTCCTCAAGGCTGGCGGCGCGGTAACGATCGGCATTGTACTGGAAGTCGCGCAGCCAGAAACCAGCTCGAATCCTAGAACGATAGGGCTCTTGTCAGCCGTACGAGAATGTGACTAGTCCGGGTCCTAGAAGTTGAGAGAAACCTACTCATCGACGCCAGCAGATGAAGAAACGCCAAGAACTCTTCTGTCCTTCCTGTTTAGAGTCTGTGGGAGGACGGTGTCTGCGTAGGAGAAAGGTGAGTGATACAATCCGTGAAAAGTTGGTGGTTGGTCAGAGATATCGACCTCGTTGGTAAGGGTTCGTGGGAGGACGGTACCTATGCAGGTCGATGGTTGGTGATATGAACCAGGAAGCGTCATTGCTTGGTCCGCAGGTTGTATTGATGACGACTGCAGGAAGGGATTGTCGTTGGTCACTTGTGATCGAAAAGGCCAAGACTGCAATCCTTTAACTGGTAGTCTGAGCCGAGGCCGGGCCTGGATCTCTCGAGCATGCGGCGTCGATTCTGCGAAAAGGGTTTGCGGTGGAGACTCTGGCGGCGGTGACCCGGACGAGGAGTGGACCGGAACGGACTCTTTCCACAGACTTTGGGCAAAAGGCTCAGTTGCGAGCTGATGCTGAGAGTCAAACACACTATGGCTTGGGGGCGTTGGAAGGTTGAGGACGTCCTGCGCGTCAATTGGCTTGAGCGGAGTATCGAACTGCCAAACTGGCTCGAAGGGGCAGAGCGACTCAGCAAGACAAGCTTGCTGCGCGGCGAAATTTGCCAGCTGCCCAGCTCGAAGGCCTAGGTGCTCAGCTAGATAGCCTTGCTGCTCAGCTCGAAGGGGTCTCTGGGCAGCTTGAAGCCGCTGTGGCCGACCGTTTTGAATTGCACACTGGTTGTGTAGCTTTTCTTGGACGTGGAAGTAGTCGTACGCGTATTGCATTGATGGGAAAGTGAGCGCTGGACAGTGAGAGAACCGAATCTGTTTCCTACCACTATCTATGGACATGGTGAAAGGTGCTTTAGTGCTCCAAGAGACAGTCTTGCCCTGTTCAGACCTGATAAGGGGCTGTACAGGCGGTCTCGAGAACGTGTTCACGTTCATACTTGTACTCGCTGGAATGGGCGGTATACTTCCTTGAGGCCATGTCTTCGGAACCGATTGTATCAAAGGTACTTGGGTGGTGTACTGTGCTCCACTTGACCTCCGCGCTCGCTCTTCAGCTTCTCTGCCTCGCCGTAAGCTTGGTAAAGTTCTCAGGGAAGATGGCTTCTCACCTGACGATTCGTTCTCGTGGACAATTCCTCCGAACCTTTGGGCGACAATTGCCAACAACGGTGGGTCCTTTCATTGCATGGCATCCGAAACACTCCTGGCAGTTCTTACATACCTTCCCGGGATAACAAACCATCGTGCCGATGATTTTGGTTGCCTTCGAGGTGCGTAGAAGGGTCTTGGGTGCAGTGTTGGATGACGCGTTCTTGGTAGCATAGGAGGAATTGAGAGGTGGAGCTACATAGTCAGTCGTCACTTCCTAAGGCTGTCAAAGTGAAACAAACAAAGTGAAGCTAGCACTAACCCAATCAGGTTTTCATCTTTTCTGAGGTCTCTCTTTTGCTGGCGAGGACCTTTTATAGCATATTTCCTCGAGAGTATCGGGCTTTCGTATGGCGAGGAGTCTAGAGAATCAATGGTCCTGGGAACCAAAACCACTTACTGTCATCAAGTCTTGGTTCAAAGTCGAAGCATTCAGTGATATGATGGCATCGATCCTAGGTATCCCAACATTTTCTTTTCCAGACTTGTGCCTCGCGACATTCGGTATACGCAAACATCCGCACTCAAATACTACTTCACTTGTCAACGTGTACGCCCTCTGTAAACGTTCTTTCCACGTTCAATCCCGTTTCGGCCATCCATTCTCTGCTTTTGGCTGGCCATTGGACTGCGGCATGTCTTGGACGGATCCCCTGTCCTCGTCACTGCTGACATCGTAATCGTCATCGTCACTGGACCCGCTGAAACTACCCCGTCGCCTCAGTGTCTTCATGGACATTCTGCTCGAGGGGCTGCCGTCATCAAAGCTGCGATCAAAGTACTCATCAGTCCTCCCAAGGATCTGATCGGCCTTCCCAGACGACCTGATTCCTGAACCTGGTACATCCTTTACGCCGTTCGATGTCGTCAGATAATGTCGTTCCGAGTCCTCTCTTGCAGGCCACCGTCGATCATAGTAGCCATCTCCATAGCCATCCCTCCCTCTCTCCTCATCCTCTTGCCACTGCGCTTCTCTTTCCTTCCTTATGGCTTCCCTAGCTTCAACCCATTTTGGATTCGGCTCCCAGTGCCACCCATCGCCTGAAGTGTTGCAGATAGGTAGCCACCATGAAAGCGGCTTGTCCCCGAACAAATGCTGTAGGTTTCTCCTCCACCCTAGGTCGAAAGCACTTGGTAGCTTCTCCGAGTCCTGCTCGTCAAGATAGTCCTCGTAGCGCTCACGCTCCCTCGATCGCTCCATTTCGCCATAGTCCCTCTGTAACGACTTATGTGCCTTTGACCGTGGGCCTGCTTCAAGGTCCACATCCGAAAGCATTTCCTCCCCTTCCTCAGATCTTGTAACTCCAGGTACTGTATTCGCATGGATTTCTGCAAGCTGTTGTCCGTAGCTCTGACCTCCGTTCCCATTTGCATTGCCGAATTGTTGCCGTCGCATCGATTTTCTTAACGGACTTAGGTATCTGGTTTTCTCCAAACACTCAATAGTTGTCTGACCTCTGTATGCCAGGCTGAGATGCCAAATCGTAAAACCCGTCAAAACAAGGCCAATGATACCAGAGATGACGCAGAGTAACACGTAATTGATCGGCATAAGACTTTCCATATATTCGGTGTCACTAAAGACTTCGCTCCAAAGCCATGTCGAGGTCACCGCAAAGCAGACCCAACAGTATATCGACGTGTAGATCAGGAACAAAACGAAAGCCTTGTAGTTCCTCAAGCCAACACACGTAGCCAGCCATGGGCAATGGTGATCCATCTTGAGCACGCAGCGCCCACATGTCGAGCAGTGATGCGCACGATCCGGTTTCCGAGCTTTGCACTTCTTGCAGAACCGGCTCTCGCCTGTAGACTTGACGGTGAAGGCTGGAGCGTCTCGGTGCGCAGAAGGCTCGTGGGTGGGAAGGTGAGAGTAGCCTGATTGACTGCTCCGGTTAATGGGCGAACCTGGGTCAGTGAAGACGGCGGTGGTGTATGACCAGTTCAAGAGGAGGTAAAGGGTAATGCCAATGACAGAGGAAATCGTGCCTGGAGTGCCAAGATGTCAGCGCAGGATACGACCAGATGTGCATGAGAGATCCTGCTGACCTGTCCATGTATTGAGACCTGTAAAGATTCCTATTCCTGCCTCCACCCATATTGCCCATGTACTCAAGCCATATATGAATCCTAACGGAAAGTATGTGACGACCGAGCAACAGGCACGCTCGCATCTCCTTACCCAGCTCTTTCGACGACGATTCATAGGGGAAGGTGATGAGGAAGTCGACGACGGCGCCGTCATCTTCTCAACCTATGTTTAAGAAAGATGCTAGAGATCCATATTCGGGAGCTTGGACTCCACGCCGCGGTTAAAGGCCAGGCACGCGGAGGAGATACGATGAGGATTGCATCAGACAGAATGAGATGATAATGACGCTATAACACCAACGAACGTATACATAGATCTAGAAGTGGGTAGAATATACAAGGCGATATATTTACAGACATTATTGTTTGAGGCGCTGACGACTGCATTGCCTACAGCCCTACAAGAAATTGCACGCAAAAGGAAAGAAATGCGTCATTGGTGGGATCAAGTCTTGGCGTTTTAGACACTGCCCTGAATCTTGTTCCCTTTGGGTCAACAGCTTCAATCTATTTTCAGAAACCATCAACCGCGTCACTCGTTTTTCTTTCTTTCTTCTAATGAGAGACTCTCACCTTCTTTTCTACTGCACGTTGACTCCTGATAGCTCTCGTGAAGAGCTACAATAACCCTCTTTCTGCTGATGCAGCCGAGAACAAGGCACTGCCCTTGACCACCTTCTTTCGAAGTGAGCGGAATTAGAGCAACTGACGAACATTTCATGACTCCTCAGCATGGCAGCCAATGAATACTATAACCCATCTCCGTCCCCGGGGAATGGACAACGCTACAATGCTCCTCCTCCACGTCTCCCTTTGGACCCTTATGCCACCTACGCCTCCCATCCTACGCAGCCATCACCGCCTCAGATATCATCACCCTACGAAGACACAAGCTATCGACCTTATGCCGACCAAAGTCAGCAAAGCATACCCTCTCCCTACTATGCCTCCGGTGGCGGAGGCCGAGAGACCGAGCCAAATCCATACTCAGACGACATCCCTCTACGACAACATCCGAGCAAAGGGAGTTCGGAGATGTTGCATGATCCACTGCCTCACGATCCGGCCATTATCGACAGACCGACCCAAAACGCCGCCCGAAGGAGGAGGAAGCAAGGATTCTTTGGTGGTGGGAAGATACCATGGGTTGTATACACCTTGACCCTGATTCAGGTGTGTGTATTCATCGCGGAGCTTGTGAGGAATGGTGCGTTCCGTCCCTTCTACGTCGCTGGCTCGGATCTGACGTTTTCAGGTGTTCTCACCAAAACCCCTATCGAAATCCACCCATCCTTCAACCCTATGATTGGCCCTTCCCCTTATGTCCTCATCAACATGGGCGCCCGCTATGTTCCCTGTATGCGCCAGACATCTGAAGGTCTGGACACAACAATCGACTGGCCGTGTCCCAACACGACATCCACCTCCCTAGACGATTCTTCCAATCAGTGTCAATTGAACAATCTTTGCGGCTTTCACGATAAAGCCTACACAAAAAGCAACCCTCCAAACCAGTGGTTCCGCTTCATCATCCCTATGTTCCTACATGCTGGATTCATACATATCGCATTCAACATGTTACTGCAGATTCTACTTGGAAAAGAGATTGAGATACTGATTGGCTCGATACGATTCCTTATCATCTACCTCAGCAGTGGGATCTTCGGCTTTATACTTGGCGGTAATTTCGCTCCACAAGGCATAGCGTCAACCGGTGCTTCGGGCTCTCTCTTCGGTATCATTGCTATCATGCTTTTGGACCTCCTCTACCACTGGGAAGAGCGTCAATCACCATGGATAGATCTTGCTTGGCTGATGTTCGATATTGTGATATCGTTTGCCTTGGGGCTTTTGCCTGGACTGGACAATTTCTCGCACATAGGAGGTTTTCTCATGGGCTTAGTCTTGGGTATCTGTTTAATACATTCACCAGAAATTCTACGGCAACGGGTTGGTGCAGACCTTCCCCCATATGCCTCTGTTCAGCAGGCACGGAAATTAGCCGACAATGGCGACATAAAAGCTTTCGTGAAAGAACCAGTGGCATTTTTCAAGGGTCGCAAGCCGCTATGGTGGGCATGGTGGCTGGTGCGGGCAGCTGCATTGATAGGCGCATTTGTTGTCTTCATTGTGCTTTTGAAGAATTTCTACAAGGCAGACCCGAAGACGTGCCACTGGTGTCGGTACTTGAGCTGCATAGTAAGTTCCAAATGTTCAAGTACTGTTATGACATATGCTAAGGTAAATCGCAGGACATTAAGAATTGGTGTGACATTGGCAATTTACAGACGACAAACGGAACGACAGGCAGCAAGCGGGATCTTTTGAGCAGGCCATTGGTGACCAAATTGGAGTATTTTCTCTGAGATCTCACCTGTGGGCAACGGGTTAAGGTGTTGAAAAGCTTTTGATGTTTGGTTTTGTTCGAAGCATAGCGAGGACGGTAATGCATTGGCATAGGAGTTGAAAGTTTTGTGGAACTTTCTACAACGGCCACCTTGGATAGGGCGCAAGTCATTCAATAGACGTTCTATGTACCTTTGGGGTGTTCACATCCCTGCAATCTGATGAAGCTGGAATAGTCGATGCGTTGCCGCCAGAAAAAGTAGCACTTGTGAGGGCATGGTTCCCATGCAATAAAAGGAGAGTCTTACCTAAGGCTTGACCGGTCTTACATATCAGAAGCGAACCACTACCTTGGTCATTAGCTATGATGGTATGATGATTGAAAGAAACTTGAGTTGGAGACTGCCAATCGTGTTGATACATTCTATTGCCAAAATGGCTCTCAGCCTTATGGACTCACGTACTTAACTCCGACGCGCTTTTTGGTGACGCGCCCCACTTCCGCCAAAAAGCATCGTCCAGCTACGCTACAGCAATACAGACTTCTCGACCGGTAAAAAGACCTTCACAATGCCTGTTGCCACTCTTCCGCCGCCGAAGAGGGCATTGGCAGACTCTACCAAAGCTCATCGCAATGTCAATCCTACGATATCGTCC